TCGCTGGCGACTTCCGATAGTGTTAGCGCCCCTCCCAGATAGCACCAGATTGCCCGCTAATACACCAATAATCCCGTCTAACCCCTTGATCGTCAACCCCCCCCTGAGTTGACCCCTTCACTGCCCTGTCACCAGTGTCATTGATCAGTGAACAGATTTTTACTGATCACTGTATCAGTGTCGCTGGCGACTTCCGATAGTGTTAGCGCCCCTCCTAGATAGCGCCAGTTTGAGCGCTAATGCACAGGATTTTTTTTACCAAAAACATGTAGCAGAATACATTTTGGCTTAAATTTAAGACTAACTTTGAGTTTACGATATATTTTTTATAGCTGAAAGTAGAAAATATTGTTTTTTTTCGTGGTTTTTTTTGTTTATAGCGCAAAAAAAAAAGCGCACAGGTGATCAAATACCACCAAAAGAAAGCTCTATTTGTGTGAAAAAAAGGACGTAAATTTCGTTTGGGTACAGCATTGCATGACCGCGCAATTATCATTTGAGTTAGTGCAGCGCTGTATAGCAAAAAAAGGCATAAATTACAGTATCTATACCATAGTTTGTAGACGCTATAACGTTCACACAAAGCAATCAATATACACTTATTGGGATTTTTTTTACCAAAAACATGTAACAGAATACATTTTGGCTTAAATTTATGACTAACTTTGAGTTTACGATATATTTTTTATAGCTGAAATAGAAAATATTGTTTTTTTTTCAAAAGTTTTGTGGTTTTTTTTGTTTATAGCGCAAAAAATAAAAAGCGCACAGGTGATAAAATACCACCAAAAGAAAGCTCTATTTGTGTGAAAAAAAGGACATAAATTTTGTTTGGGTACAGCATTGCATGACCGCGAATTATCATCTGAATTAGTGCAGCGCCAAACAGCAAAAAAAGGCCTGGTCATTAAGGGGGGTAAATCCTCTGGGGCTCAAGTGGTTAATAAAAAAAAAAATTGCATGAAAAACAGGTTTATACTTATCTGCTCTGTGTATTGCACAGAGCAGCCCCAAACCTCCTCTTCTTAGGTTCCCCGCAAGTACTTCTGGCTCCTCCTTTCTGGTGAGTGCCTCCATAGGTAGGGTTCCGCTCAGGGGCAGACTGACAACTCATGGGGCCCCCAGACAATAGGGGATCTTGGGGCCCCTGTGTCCTTGCCCAAACTCAAAAAAGCCTATGAAAAAGGTACCAGGGGCATCTCATGGGGTCCCCTACTGACCTCGGGCCCTCGGGCAGTGCCTGAGTTTCCAAATTGTCAGTCCGCCCCTGCTTCCGCTACATATGAAGGCACTCATGCGTGCTCACCCTTGAGCCACACTGCCTGTACCTATAGACACAGTGAGCGGGGCTCGGTCCTGTCCCCACTCTTTCATCACTGACTTTGATTGACAGCAAAGCCTGCGAGGCCAAGAAGTGAAGGGAAAGAAGAGATGCAGATGGGCACATCGCTGGATCGAAAGAGGGCTCAGGTAAGTATAAGGTGGGGGGAGGGGGTGGTAGGATACTGATGCATAAACATTTTTTACCTTAATGTAAGGAACGCATTAAGGCAAAAAATGTTTAGGCTCCTCCTTGCCCCCTGCTCTCTCCTCATTGTCTAACTGGCTGTGATTGACAGCAGAGGGAGCCAGTGGCTTCCGCTGCTGTCTCAGCCAATGAGGAGAGGGAGTCCTGGGACACCTGAGGCTCTCCTGCACATCGCTGGATCGAGAGGGGGCTCAGGAAAGTATTAGGGGGTAAGGGGGAGCAGCACACAGAAGGTATTTTACCTTCATGAATAGAATGCATGCAGGTAAAAAAAAAACCTGTAGCCCTTACAACCACTTTAAGGTACAGGAAATACACATGAAAAGTCTTGACAGAAAACAAACAAATCTGGGATCAAACTGGAATCACACATTTCTTAACATAGGTTCTTCTTGAAGGTAGTCCAAGCCTTTTCTGTGATGTGCATGGCACTTTTGACCCCAGCTGTGCATGAGGATACCGTGAAATTCAGCATTCATGCTGGTGTTTATTTACGTTGCAGAAGACATGTCAGTAGTGTTTGTAAATAGAGCTCCATTGTCACGCTCCACGCACATTGTAAACAAGTATGAGATCCCATGCTTGACATACTGGATAATCCCCGTGCTATCTTCCATGTGGTTTGTGGTTCCCATTTCCAACAAAGGGAAACTGAGTCAGAGGAAACATATTGTATCCAGTAGACAAATACAATGAAAAATACATTTTTCAAATAAATTAAAATGCTAGTCAAACAGGATATGGAAATATGGCTACCATGTCTCAAAACTAAAAATGCCCATAAATGCTGTGCCTGTAAAGAATAAAGTACATACTTAAATCTATGGCTACCCGCTCCACCAAAGGCCACTCCAATGAACAGAAATCTCCAGATTAAATCTTTTGCAGAAACCAAAATTTCCGCAAGTGGCAATCTTTTGGTGTCCCATAGTGCTCAGCAGTTCCTACTGTCAACTTCCACTTCAGTTAGGACAAAATAGACAGAATAGTGAGTGATGTCAGCAGAAGGAACCAGTGAGTGCTGCGAGTGACCAGGAGATGGACACTCATGGAAGTGTCTGTTCTTGCAGAAAACTTCAGTTGGGGGTTTCTGAATAAGGGCGGGACAGGTGGCTGGAGACTAGAGTTAGCATTCTCAGAAAAAGGCAGTTTCCCTTTTTTATCATTGAGATATATATATATATATATATATATATATATATATATATATATATAGCCCCCTGACAAGCCTGCTAGTTTTGTTCCAGGTTCTCTTTCCATTTGTTTCAGAAGCAGCCAGGCACACAGCAGCACAGCCAGTCTCACAGCTCAATAATCAAACTTGGGGTGCCCTTTTATGCTTTAATGCAAGTTGAACTTGGGGTGTAGGAAGCTGTGGGATACTCCAGAACATAATGCAAAAATCAGAGGACGCTCTTTGCTTTGTCTACACTCCTTAGGAAAGTCCCCTCTTAGCAGAAACTATGGGGGATGATCAACTCTGGGACATCAAACCAGCAGCACTAGGGCAAATACTCAAAGAAATAGAAGCAGCAGACAGTCAATAGGATTCTATACTAGGCCTGAACTCGCAATGTCCCCAGATACTTGGATGTCTCTGTCCAATATCAGCCAGACACTTCTCCTGTGAATTCCCAGACCAGATCCTCAGTGAAATCCCTTGATTTGGTTCCAGCTATTTTCAGACAATAGACCCCTCCCGGCTCCCACTGAGCTGGGACCTCGATGAACTCCCACAGACTTCAGCTACACTGCCCAGAATGGCAGCAGCTCTTCAGGCTGGGGTCTTCTCCTCCTGGATAAGAACCCTGCTGCTTCTGGCCCCAGACTATTTTTGCACTCCGCAGCCACCTACTGGGCATCCCATCCCCTGGAGATTGGCTGAGACCAGATAAATATTCAGGCGAAATGTTCTGCCTCTTGCAACCAACTACGTTCTAAAATCCACTAGAAGGCAAGGAAGAGCAGTTGAGCCTGCAGCCAGTGAGACCCAGAACAGCCAAAAATAACCACACGCCACTCCAATGATTACAGAGGAGCTAAATTTACTTGAACCTTTCTAGCAACCTGTCTAGGAGGGTGCTACGTCTACAATGTCATCAGTTAGTTCAGTGCTTTACAAAATACTGGGGTATTTCCTTCCCTACTAACCTCCTCTCCCTCCCCCTCTTTGCCCCCCTTTCCTACCCTTTCTTCTCTATTCTCACACCCGTTATGAAACTGAGATATATCCCCTGCAGTTTCTGTAGCTATCTGACCATTCTACTTTGTTTTCTAGATTGTCTATCCTGATTGGGTTATTATGGCCCCACATATCTTTATATAAATATAGTTGCATTCCTATGCTACAATCCATCTGTAATTTTCAGAGGCTCTTCTGTTACCTCTTTCTGAGACCTACAGGTTTTGGTTGGTAGTCACTTGCTGTGCAGACCCCTATTTATTTCTTGAGTGTTCCTTGCTGCCATGCAGACTTTATTGTATTGCTACTGACTTTGACTGTCTACTTTTGTGACCATATTATGCACTGTTTTTGCATATAATTGTATAATGCAATTTTTTGATAAAGGAATTACAACAATGTACTGGGGTGTCAGGAAGCACAGGCATTGGTAGAGGTAAATATGATAACTGTACTGAAATTAATGTAAAAATAGGCATACATTTCTTCTTCAAAAAGAGGAAGTTCCGTTTTAAGGATTCCTCCTTCGCTCCTGGTAAAGGAATGGCACTTTTGGTACCCGTTCCCACCACCTAGGCAATTGGAAGCAGAAGTTCTCCTCCCTGCAGTCTTCTGGGACACGTGACAGGCCCTAGAACAGCGGTTCTCAACCTGCGGGTCGTGACCCCTTTGGGGGTCGAACGACCCTTTCACAGGGGTCGCCTAAGACCATCGGAAAACACATATTTCCGATGGTCTTAGGAACCGAGACACCGCTCCGCTATCAGTCTCCAGGGCGTGGGCGGGATGACATGCCGCCCCTGTCATCTGGACACACCCCCAGGATCAATCCTCGCCGGTGATTGGCCGCCGGAACTGTAGCTCAGGAGAGGCACACAGGCGGCCAATCACCGGCGAGGAGGTGGAGCTTGGAGAGGAGGAGCCAAACGGCACCGCGAAGATCAAGCGAGTGAAGAGGAGGAGAGCGGCCGGAGAAGGAAGACAGCTGACCGGTAAGTGTCTGTACCATGGGAGAGGGAGGGAGCGAGCGAGCCCAGGCTGGAGCAGGGGTCAGCAAGGTAAGTATCATTGGTGTCAGTGGGAGGAATAGTGCCCCATCATTGGTGTCACTAATACCAATGATGGGGCACTATTCCTCTCACTGACAACAACGATGGGGCACTATTCCTCCCCCCACTGACACCAGCGATGGGGCACGATTCCTCCCCCAAATGACACCAACGATGGGGCACGATTCCTCCCCCAAATGACACCAACGATGGCGCACGATTCCTCCCCCAAATGACACCAACGATGGGGCACTATTCCTCCCCCCACTGACACCAACGATGGGGCACTATTCCTCCCCCCACTGACATCAACGATAGGGCACTATTCCTCCCCCCACTGACTGACACCAACGATGGGGCACTATTCCTCCCCACACTGACACCAACGATGGGGCACTATTCCTCCCCCCACTGACACCAACGATGGGGCACTATTCCTCCCCCCACTGACACCAACGATAGGGCACTATTCCTCCCCCCACTGACACCAACGATGGGGCACTATTCCTCCCCCCACTGACACCAACGATGGGGCACTATTCCTCCCCCCACTGACACCAACGATGGGGCACTATTCCTCCCCCCACTGACACCAACGATAGGGCACTATTCCTCCCCCCACTGACACCAACGATGGGGCACTATTCCTCCCCCCACTGACACCAACGATGGGGCACTATTCCTCCCCCCACTGACACCAATGATGAGGCACTATTCCTCCCACTGACACCAGTGATGGGACACTATTCCTCCCACTGACACCAGTGATGGGGCACTATTCCTCCCACTGACACCAATGATGGGACACTATTCCTCCCACTGACACCAATGATGGGACACTATTCCTCCCACTGACACCAGTGATGGGGCACTATTCCTCCCACTGACACCAGTGATGGGGCACTATTCCTCCCACTGACACCAATGATGGGGCACTATTCCTACCACTGATACCAATGATGGGGCACTATTCCTCCCATTGACATCAGTGATGGGACACTATTCCTCCCATTGACACCAATGACGCGGCACTACTCCTCCCACTGCAAAATTACAGTTATGAAGTAGAAACGAAAATAATTTTATGGTTGGGGGTCACCACAACATGAGGAACTGTATTAAAGGGTCACAGCATTAGGAAGGTTGAGAACCACTGCCCTAGAAGACTGCAGACCATTCACAATGCGCCTCGCAGCGCAGTGGGCCCCCGGCTGTGAAGTCGCATGCTGTCACAGCCCGGTGCCCACAGTTAACATGCTGGTGCCGGGGACAGACAGAAGATGAAAATGGCTGGGGTGAGCACACCACTGGATAGTGGGAAAGATTAGTGGCTGTTTATTAAAAGTCAGCAGCTGCAGTTTTTAACTGCGGACATTTTTAATTTTTACACAGGAGATTGGAGCTCCTCTTTAACTTACATAGGTCATTCACATTTCATATGATGGTGGAGTAACTCTTCCTCTGTAGTAACTCTTCTTTTTCATTGCAGGTAAATAATGGATTCCAAGTAGAAGCAACATTCCATCACTGAGTTCTTGATGAAGGAGGGGTACAGGCTGTCTAACATGTACTACAGAGAGAGATGACAAGGCTCATGTGCACAGATGGTTGAAGAAGTTTAAAGAAAGGGGAGACCAGCACTGAAGACAAACCACGCAGTGAGACCATCAATGTCGGATAGCTTGCACCCTTCCTTAATCAAGAACGGAATGATGGCACATTGCTTCTGCTTGGAATCCATTATTTACCTGCCCACCTTTGAAATACTTTCAGTACAGCCATCAAATTTACTATCTTCTTTACAGGGTAACCTTTTTCACGTTTTGTTTTTAGAGTTGCTTTAATGCAGGTAAAGCATAGACTGCAAAATATTCTGAGGGTTGTGTTTTAGTGTAGCAGATGAAATATTATTCAATTTAGATGTCCAAACAGCTTTGCCTCTAGAAAAAAGAAAAAAAAAAGTTCTTCTTAATAACTTATTTGTATAGCAAGAAGCCAAAAGCAAGTCATTCCCACTCAATGGGAAAAATGCCACGACCTCCAATGCACACTCACATATCTCCTATGAATTGTGAGTCTTATAAATGACCACTTTGTACAGCTTCTTTTCTCATTGAAAAAAAAAAAAACTATCAACAATGTAGTAATTTCTTCCCAGATTCCTTTCTTTCAGCCGCTACTGAGAAAAGTCATTTTGTGAGCCTCACTTTTATTGTGGCTGGAACAGGCTGCATATCTTGGTTAGTCCTAATTACAGGGAATTTCAGATGCCCAGTGAGTGGCTTAGAAGTACGGTTTGCGGTAGACGTTCTTCAGTTGGTTCACAGAGAAAAGCAAAGCTAAATAGAAATTAAGTTGCATGGACCTACTGACCCCCGAATAATCCATATGCAGTATTAAATTATTCTAATACAGCAAATGCTGATTGTGTTTGACTTTGGTTTATACAACTGATATTATCAGCATGTCTGCTATCCGGAGAAGTGTCTCTGGTTTTCATCAGCAATATATTTAATATGTTCCCAAGTCACCGAGCTGCTGTACATGGCCAGTCCTCAACCAGTAGCTGGCCCTCAAAAAAAACAGGTCTGGAATTGTCAAGTAGCAGAGAAGTACTACAGAGGGGTGAAGAAGTGAAGAAGTACTGTGGAAGACAGCTTTAAGCTGAAAGCGAGTATTGTGGCCAGAGCTGCTCTTTTCATACCTTAAGTTTAAAAGAAATGGGGTACTGTGTGTACTTACAGTTCATCCACTCTATACACCTCAAACCAAACTTCTGGATGGGTAGGCCACAAATTTGCTTTCTTCTTTTAGGTGTCAGTCCTAGGTGCATTGATGTAAATTGTCTCTGTCAGTCTTTCCGCTGTGGTGTGCCTTGTATGATAGTGACATTGGATTTTGTTTATGTGGCTTTTACCTTGTTCCTGAAATGAGAAACCACATTTATTGCACCCTGTGACATCATCACCGGGCTACTAAAATTCTTGTAGGGGCAGGTGCAGGGAGCTCAGTTCCCTTTTGCCTTCCCTTCTGGAAGTTGGCCATGGCCAGATTGTAATTTGGCTGGTTCATAAGGAACTGCATGAATTTTGATCCAACTATGGGCAGGCTGGTTGTACTGAAGTCGATCGATCAATTGACCAACTTCAGTACAACCAGCCTGTTATTTGTTTGGGTTTTTTTTTTCCATACGATCACTGTCAGTGGCTATAGCCACCAGCAGTGATCATTGTATTCTGACGGTGGGGAAACCTCACACAATAGCGCAGGGGGACTGACTGTTGATAGGAAAGAAAATAGCATAATCTATGGACGGCCTTCACTATATACCCAGAATTCCATCCTCCAAGAACCCCTTCTCTACACACAGTGTGCAGGCAAGCTCTTGGGAGTCAAGGTAGTGGCATTGTTTTGCTGGAATATAAATCAATTTATGCAAATGAAATGGGACAAAAAGGGATGAGGGATAGGTGAAGTTCTGGAATATAAGCAGGACTGACAACACTGCTGTGGATTTTAATGAAGCAAAGGCAGTGTTGTCAGCACAAACAGGAAATAAAAAGAACACTGGATTTCTGGCAGATCAACAGGCAATTTTCTGCACTGATTTTAAAGGAGTAAACTAAGAAAGCGGACATGAATTGCAGATATGTACTGGATGTGTTTTTTTTTTTTAATTATTATTACATTACCCTAAAACATTTTTAAGACCTCATTCAGACAAGGGCGATTACTTGCAGCTAGAAACTCTGTCCCTGGATGCAAATTGCCTGCATCTAGGTCTGCTCGGGGTCCCTATTCACATGTGCCAGCCATCCAGTTATACAGGTGGCTGTGCAGCAGCTGTTTGCACACACTGGGTGTATGCAGTTTTTCCCCAGCCAACAGCAACACACTGGCAGCCACCCTTGTGATTATGCTCTAACAAAGGTAGAATTATTATTATAATTCAGGATTTATACACTCACCTTCCATTTAAATAGGTACACCTGTTCAATTGATTGGTGACGCAAATTGCTAATCAGCCAATCACTTGGCAGCAACTCAATGCATTTAGGCATCTAGACATGGTGAAGGCGACTTGCTGAAGTTCAAACTGAGCATCAGAATGGGGAAGAAAGGGGATTTAAGTGATTTTTGAACATGGCATGGTTGTTGGTGCCAGACAGGCTGGTCTGAGTATTTTAAATACTGCTGTTCTTCTGGGAACTTCACACACAACCATCTCTAAGGTTTACAGAGAATGGTCCGAAAAAGAGAAAATCTCCAGTGAGCAGCAGTTGTGTGGATGAAAATGCTTTGTTTATGTCAGAGGAGAATGGGCAGACTGGTTGCTGCGACATTCAGATGGTAGGGTCAGAATTTGGAGTAAACAACATGAAAGCATGGATCCGTCCTAACTTGTATCAATGGTTCAGGGTGTGGTGGTGGTGGTGTGTAATGGTTGGGGTGTAGGATATTGTATTATATATATATATATATATATATATATTCATATATATTTATGCACGAGGTGTACATTCCTGTTTTGGGTTATTGATGGTCCTTTATGCACGAAAGGCATGACCTTACCTTTTTGTGATGATCATTGGGTTCACCTGTTTTTGGGTAACTACAGTTTGGAATACATTTCAATACAATATAAGGAAGGTGAGGGCCCGGCTCGTGGAGCTTACAATCTAAAGGAAGGGGGAGATGATACAAAAGGTGATAGCTGCGGGCAGGGGCGGACTGACAACTCATGGGGCCCCCGGGCAATAGGGGATCATGGGGCCCCTGTGTCCTTGCCCAAACTCAAAAAAGCCTATGAAAAAGATACCAGGGGCATCTCATGGGGCCCCCTACTGTCCCCGAGCCCTCGGGCAGTGCCCGAGTTTCCAAATGGTTAGGCTGCCCCTGGCTGTGGGGGATGATCTGGTGGAGGTGATTCAAGTTAGTTCTTAGGTGGAGGTGGGGTAGGCTTCCCTGAAGAAGTGCGTTTTCATGCTGGGGGTAGGTAGGGAGTTCCAGAGGATGGGAGATGCTCTGGAGAAGTCCTGGAGGCGAGCGTGGGAGGAGGTGATGAGGGAGCTAGAGAAGAAGATATCATGGGAGGAGTGGGCGATTTGGCCGATATCTGTGGATGATGTTGGTGATGTAGCTAGGGGCAGTGTTGTGGATGGCTTTGTAAGCTGTGGCAGTATTTTAAATTTATACATTGGGTTAGGGGAAGCCAATGAAGGGATTGGCAGAGAGGGGCAGCAGTTCACTGATCGGTTGGTAAGGTGTATGGTCTAGCAGCAGCATTCATAATAGACTGAAGGGGGGATAGCCTGTGTAACGGTAGACCAGTGAGGAGGGGGTTGCAGTAATCGAGGCGGGATATAACCAAGGCATGAATAAGTTGTTTTGTGGTGTCATTGGTCAGGAAGGGGCAGATGAAATGTTCTGGAGGTTGAGGCGGCAGGATTTAGCCAGTGAGTGGAT